CTAGAATATACCCCAGGACCTCCATGCTTCAGTGAAGTGACAACAAGTCCAAGATATTGAGCATGAAGAACTGCCCTGTACTTGTTTGCTGATACAGGTGTTTTGGTCTTTGAACTCTACACTAGCCTGAAGAAATGAGAGATCATGTGGAAGTGTGTCCTGAGGCTGGTGTCATCATTCAGAGGCTTGCCTGTCGTATTGAAAAGGACGGTGGGGCTGCACTGGTTGCCGATTATGGTCACGATGGAACCAAAACTGACACGTTTCGGGTAGGTCATTTACCCTGATATAAGAAGCCGAAATACTCTATCTTTCATTTGTCACTTGGATCATTAAGTTCTTGTAAGAGCAAGGTTTTGGCTAGACATAATAGCAAAACCTGCATTATGTTACAGGCATAAAACCGAGTGATTGAGTCCTTTTTTAATCAGTAGCCATAAGGGTTTCTGCCAGATGGAAAGGATAATCTGAGCCCTTGCTACATTTATCTCAGATTTTCGAAGTGCAATTTGCTGTTCTCACCCTTTACACGCACAAGTCCCAGCTATGGGAGCTAGGAGTACAGCCAAGTATAATCTTCCAGTTTAATTTTTCAGGGTTTCCGGAATCACAAACTTCATGACGTGCTGAGCGCTCCAGGTACTGCAGACCTGACAGCAGATGTTGATTTCAGCTATCTTCGAAAGATGACACAGGGAAGAACAGCCACATTAGGACCCATAAAACAGCAAGAGTTTTTGAAAAACATGGGCATTGATCTCCGATTGCAGGTATGATAATGTTTACAGGTATGTAAACTCTCCTACTCCACAGGCAATACTCTTAGGCAGCATGAGAGCTTTTTATAAAAATCTGATTTTAAAAGAAAGTTTTAAAACATCTAGGTGTGCGATTGAAGAGTTGCTTCTAGACAAAGTAAACTGATTGTATTACATTTAGAAGAATTTCCTGCAAAATTTTGCTATGTACATCAATGTATAAGCTCCATCAGGGATGTCACCCTGTAGTGTCTTCTACTGAACACTATGGCACTGGTACATTAGTGTAAGTGAAAAGGACACAAGCAGTAGATTGCAGGTATGAGGGAATTTATAGGAAAGCAGGAAGGGCTAAAACCTACATTCTCTTTTTTTTTTTTAGGTACTCTTGCAGAATTCTCCTGACACAGCAGCTCGTGAGCAGTTACTTCACAGCTATGATATGCTGATGAATCCCAAGAAGATGGGGGACCAGTTTAACTTTTTTGCCCTGTTGCCTCACTACAGACTTGTACACACTGACAAGAAACAGAAGCCAGAATCGAAGTTGCCCTTACCACCTGTTGCTGGATTTGGTGAACTTGTACTGAAGTGATTTCAAATACTGTACCAAAATGTAGCAGTAGCAGTAGCTTTCAATAGCAACTAATTAAAAAACAGTCAAAGTAAAATAGCAGAGTCCTGCATTTTAGTTTCTCACAGTTTTTGAATAATGCATGTAGCTACATACACAGTAAGGTAAGAACTAAATATTTTGATTTATCTTTGAACTGAAAGCACATGAAATGTCATAGTACTTTTCCAGGCATTTTTTCTCACATCTATCCACATTTCAGAGTAAATCTGTTTATTACTAAACCTATTGACACAGTAAACCTATTGACTAGCCTACTCAAAGCAGTATGTGTACATACATACACATACAGAAACCAGCATACACAGACCAGAGAATGAAGTGTTCCAGAGCTCTTAAAACAGAGCTGTATGAAATATTTACTAGTGGACTCAAGTTAAAACTTGTCAGTAGTAGACAGATGTGCTAAGGAGACTTTAAATGTACTCAGTTTTGCTACTTGCTTCAAACAGAAGATGTCTTGACATTTTTGAAGATATTTTTGTGAAGTTTTATGAAGAGAATGATGACAGGAACCATGCAAAGAGTTCTTAGTTCCAAAGCACCTGCCACCAGAATTTCCACAGCAGGACACAGCTAAAGACAAATCCACAAGCAAGAAAGTATATATAAATATTGAATTCTAAGACCAGTTGATAGGAGAGATAGTTCATGTAAATAAAAAAACCAAATCTGATAGGGAAATAAATTTTATTTTCAAGCTTATCAGAGGATATTCACAAACAATGGGATGTATAAAAATATAAAAAAGTACTAGACAGTGTCCTTTTCAGGCTATAAATTTTACATGAGTTTTTTTCTAGCATTGTAGCACTATTTCTTGAATGAATGCAACTTAATTCAGCTAGGGGTAAGGATATGAAACACTGTAACCTACTGCTGTCAAAGGTTGCAGTAAAGGTAGAAAAAAGGAATAAAAAAACTCACCTATTTTTACTACTCTGAAGAAAGTTTACTCCTCGTGTATGTCTGATTTTTTTTATTTTTTTTGGTTCCTTGACTATTAGCTGCTTGTGGCTTCTATTATCTGGCCCCATATGTCTGCATATATGGTCAGGCAATCTCCTCCAAAGGCCAACAGCATTATTTAGTCATTTATTTTTTTAAACTAGAAGAATAAATAGTTCATATAATACTTTGGAGCAGAGCAGACTTCATGGGAAGAGACATCAGCCAGGCCTACTTCATTGTTGTCCCCTCCTTCCTCTATTCCTGTTGTGCTTCTTTTTCAAGTGACTGGTTTTTTTTTTCCTTCCCAAAAAACCCCACAGGAAAACCTGAAGTGACAGGTCAAGTATAAAATCTGAAGTTTAAAACCAGATTGTATCTACTTTGTTACAGTTAGGATGGACGATAGCAATGGCTTCACTGAAATTTGGTCACTTGAGCGGTGGAAGTTGAAAAAAAAAAAAAGCACTGTTCCCTTGGCAAGCTTGGGCAAATACAAGACTACCAACTTCACAGGTGCTTGTTTTGGTTCCAAAGATGACAACTGGTGCCTCTCAGAAGAATCAGCCGTGAAACCCTGCCCTAGCAGGATGGCAAGGTTAAGGAACAAATTCTGCCCCTTCTGAATTTCTGTACACTGCCTTGACAGCATAGAAGGGGGAAGGTGACCCCCAGCACAGAGGGGGCAGGGACTGCCATCAAGCAAGTCCCCTGCACAAACCTGAGAAAAAGCACATGCTAGGAGAGAGGATGCAGGG